GGAAGTGGATATCTTTCCTCTTCAACACACTGGTTGACACTGACTTTGTAGTCACCACATATCCTAATTGTTTTGTCTGCTTTTGGCACAGTAACAATAGGGGATGCCCACTCACTTTTCTCAACCTTTGAAATAACCTTCACCTTTTCCAATCTGTCCAGCTCCTTTTCCACAGCTTCTTTTAGTGCATAAGGAACTGGGCGAGCTTTACAGAAAATTGGTGCAGTGTGGATTCTAGCTTTAAATCTCTTTATGCAGCCTTGGTCATCCGAAAACACTGCCTGATGGCGCTGAATCACTTCTAGTACTCCTGGCTTTGCTTCTTTCTGCACCAGTACCTTGTGTACTGTGAAAATCTGTTTCCAGTTCAGCTATAGTTTCTTTAACCAGTTTCGTCCAATCAGAGCTGGTCTGTCTCCCTGAACAACGATCAGTGGTAGGGTGATGTTTTGAGTCCCATACTGTACTGGTAACATAATATATCCACGCACAGCAATGTGTTGGCCTGAGAAGGACTTGAGCTTTAGCCCACTGGCTGGTTTTATAGGGAAATGAGTGAGATGTATCTGATAATACTTGTCTGATACTACCGACACTGCTGATCCTGTATCCAGCAGCATGGTGGTGTTCTTGCTCCCAAGCGCAACATCCACTGTGTATCCCTTCTCACTGGAGGTGATGGAGTACATTAAATAAACTCCAAAAAGTTCAGCTTCATCATTCCTACTTGAGCATTCATCCTCAGTTTCCAAATACTGAGTTTGCTGACTGAATTTTTTATTCCTGCAAGCACGTGCAGTGTGTCCTATTTTTGCACAAACATGACACTTTTCACTCTTAAATTTGCACTCACGTGCTGAATGCTTTCCACCACAACGATAACATGGTTGCTTCATTCCTGTGTCTTTTTTAGGTCCCTTCCAGTTCTTTGGCTTGTTATTGCCCTCTTGCCTGTTCTGTCCTTTCCATCCTTTGTTGGAAAAAATTTGGAGCATTTGTCAAGGCATTTACATGGTGAGGGTCCTGGCGTCCTGAGAACTCCATCGTATTTTTCGAAGCGAGTTCCATGGATACGGCAATCTCACATGCACGTGGAAATGTAAGATCCTTTTCCGATAGTAGCTTGCGCTGCACAGCATCAGAACGCAGCCCACTAACAAAACGATCCCTCAGGGCCTCATCCAAATATTGTCCAAAATCACATGTGGCTGACAACTGCCTCAGGGCGACAACATAGTCAGAAACTGCCTGCCCTTCTTTCTGGTTACGTTTCTGAAAACGAAAACGCTCAGCTATCACCACTGGAGTCGGCTTATAATGCGCACTAAACGCCCCAGTCAGCGCTGCATATCCCATGGTACTCGGTACCCTCGGAGACACAAGATTCTTTAGCAGCCTGTATGTATCTGCTCCGATCACAGAGAGAAACGTGCACACTTTCTTCTCATCGGAAACATCATTTGTCAACATCCATTGCTCCAACCACTCCAAATATGACTCAAAATCTTCCTTCGATTCATTATACTCTTCAACACGACCCACATGCATCGCCATGTTAGCTCACCAAAAGCTGTTCCGCTGCAGCCGTGAAGAAAACGTCTTGGTTTGTATTTTTCTTTACATGTGAACACAGCCCTTCTACAGCCTCTGTCACGCTGTGGAAATCTTTAGAATCCTCGTCGCCAGTTGTGATATTCTGGATTAGGCTCTTGAAAAGATCAGGACAGAAGGACGTGGATAGGTGCCTTTATTGAACAGCAGGACATCACACACTAACTTGTTGTTTCTTAGCGGTGCAGAAACTACCCTTTTTTGTTGTTATATATTGGTCAACCAAGAACTAGCCCTGTAACAGGCACTTCTGTATTTTACCACTGGGGGGCAACAATTCACTCTATTACAGTAGCGGTCACTCAGAGAGGCAGCTGTGCTGTGTTTGATGGTTTCTCTTTACAATACTTTGCAAATGCATCCTCAGCCTTCAGCATTCACTTCTGCAGGTATGAGAGCATCGTGGACATCACACGAAGGTGTGGAGTCTAGATAAACAGTCTGACTGGTAAGCCTTGATAGTTTAAAAACTAGTAAAATCACTGCCTGACTTCAGATCGGGAAGTGCTCTGTTGTATTCGGTCTCTGCTTTGGGTTCTCTACAAAACACCAGGACTGTGAGATGGCCTAACTCTCTGTGTACCTGCACAGTAAGCTCCCCTGGGTCTCTGGGTTTTCAAGTTCTCTCAAATGTAACCTGCTCAGTGCATGTGCACAGCATCTTTTACCACGGAGATACAAGTTTTCTCACTAAACAGAGTTCAGGCTCCTGCTCACAGGAGGTTTGTTGGACTGCTTACTGAGACTACCCTGCCCTGAGGTGAGGCAGGTGAACTCTGCTCAGTGAAGCTTGTGACAGTGAGGAGGAAGCAGCTGCTTAACATCAAACCAATTAGGAGTTAGAGGAGGGATTAGAGGCAGCAGCTGATCTGCTGATAATGAGCTCAGGAGGCTTTAGGATGACGAGCTGCCGCACGCTCGCATTCACACCTCCATACATCCTGCAGGAAATACTCACTTGGTCTGTGTGAATATTGTGCAGTGTTTGATGGTGGACTCCTCTGCTCCCTCAGTAACATGGACTGTCCCCCCTTGCAGCTCAGCATTATGGGCCTGAAACCAGTAGATGTTGTTTTTTCACGAGTAAAGCTCTGAATCTGAGTCTGAACTGCAGCTGCTTCTTATTGAATCCTGACCCTCAGTGTCTGTTTGAATTCTCAGAGTTGCTAAAATGCCTTTCATGCCGGTGAAGTTCAACCTGCAGAAGCGGGTCAAGCTGGCTCAGGGTCTATGGATGCTCTACTGGTTTTCAGTCATCGCAGGGATCCTCATCTTCAGCCTCGGCATCTTCTTCAAGATTGAGCTGCGGAAGAGAAGTGAGATGATGGACAACAACGAGAGCCACCTGGTGCCCAACTTGCTGATCCTGGTGGGATTGCTGGCTTGCGGCCTTAATGCCTTCGGAGGGAAGGTGTGCCATGACTCTCTGGATCCCATCAAGTTCTCCAAATGGAAGCCGATGTTGAAGACATATTTGCTGCTGTGCTGCGGCTTCAACGTGTTGCTGGTACTCGTGTCGCTGCTCTGCTTCCTTATGCAGTTCTCCGTATACCTGACACTGGCCGAGGGCCTGAGTTACGCCATCCGGTTTTACAAGGACACGGACACGCCAGGGCGCTGCTTCATGAAGAGGACGCTGGACATGACGCAGATCGAGTTCCACTGCTGCGGGAACAACAATTTCAGGGATTGGTTTGAGGTTCAGTGGATCAGCAACCGCTACCTGGACATGAGCAACGATGTGGTCAAAGAGTGAGTATCTGAGCGGGGTGGCCGGTCACGTGGAGCCATTATTGAAAAGTTATCGATGTTGTTGGATAATGTATCTGCTGTTTAAGAATTTACACACAGAGCTGGCACCTGATTCTATTAGATGAATCCATAATTATTCTATAGAAATTGTCCATCTGAATATTCCTCTATATTTTAATCAAACTCATCAATTTTTAACAAAGCAGCAGCCTCGGGAAAAGTGTCTCTGTGATCACGACACAAGTCTGATCAGCAGCTCCTCGTTGAACTGAGCACCTCAGATATTTCTAAATTAAATTTCTCAGGTTTTATTCATTAGTTTCTCAGATGAATTAAACATTAGGCTCAGCAGAGGATCAGAGAGGTCTTAAGGAGGTAAAAGTCAACGTTTAGGAGCTTCGTGCGGGGCGTCTCCTCTGAGACTCTAATCTGTCACTTGATCCTTAAACACAGCAAAGCGGACATTAAAGAAACAGCTTCTGATCAGAAATGAACACGTCTGATTGGCTGCAGCTCTGAAATAGTGGCAAACCTGTAACTATTTTGTTTTCTGTTCTAATGTGTTTAAAAGAGATTATTTTTCTCTCTCTAATATAATTGATCCAACTTAAAGCCATACCCACAGCTTGTACCAATTAACAAGTTAAATAACATACTGCATCTGACAAAGTGAAAACTTTACATGTCGCTGTTCTTCATATTTGAACGAAGCAGTCTTATTCTCCATCAGTGTCTCTGCTGAGTTGAATTGTGGGATATAAATTATATTGTATGCTCTTGCCATACGAAGGTTTCCGATTGACTAAAACGTCTAATGGACTATTTTGTACTCTACTCTACTTTTCTCACTTTGAGTCTAAAACTGCAACGTTTAATGATGATTTTTACCAGATAATTTGATCACATCTGGTAGTACCATCCATAGACAAATTTACCAATATTTTTAACATATTGGTTAAATTTGACATCACCCTCCAAGATAATCTAACAAGTTTAAACGTGACAGGAAAAGGGAGAGTTTATTTTCTTCTTAATGACCTTCCTCCAAAAGGGCAAACCAGTTTTCAGATTTGGAGAGCAGATAAATCATCCAGAGGTGCAGACTGTAGTGAGTTTCACTGTTGTCATGAAACATTTACGTGGCTTTACTTCCACTTAAATTGAGCGGAAGGCTGCCATAAGAGACATTTCCTCTGCAGCATTCAGTGCCTGGTCCTCAACAGTTTTCCATCACAGTGAATAATCTTATTAAAGCAGAGTGCAGCTGTATGCTGACGGTCCTCTCAGTTATGGCTCTGATGTTCTGCTCAGCTATGATTCTTTTGAAATTCTTACTTTCCATGCAAACAGCCTTGCCTTGCAAACATAACTGTTATGGAGGCCTTCCTCCACAGTGGCCAGTGAGTGTTTCACCTCCACATGGTTCTTGCTCATAGGGTTGCCCTCTCTGAAAGTTCAGGAACTCAGGAAAATTGGTCGACTTCTTGCCGTATTTTATTGATCTTTGGTTTAGTCTCTGTAGTAACGTATAGTTCCTATTAGCTTACTTTTGTCTTGAGTCACCTGTGCTGCAACCGTTCATTCATTTCAGCATAGATTTAACTAACCCATTTCCAGAGCAATGGGGGGGGGGGGTCGTCGCTAATCTCTCCTCAGTCCCCAGGCTGGCTTTGTTTGACCTCTGACCTGTGTTTGGCCTGCAGTCGAGTCCTCAGTAACGTGGAGGGGAAGTATCTGATGGACAGCGTCCCATTCAGCTGCTGTAACCCCGGGTCCCCCCGGCCCTGCATCCAGCACCACCTGACCAATAACTCTGCTCATTACGACTATGACCACCGCACAGAGGAGCTCAACATCTGGACCCGGGGCTGCCTTGAGGCCCTCTTCTCCTATTACAGCAGCCTGATGAGCAGCATTGGTGTTTTTGTCCTCTTTGCCATCATCCTGGAGGTAAGACCCCACCCACATTCCACTGCAGCCAATCAGCCAAACAGACATCTCTTTGATTCAGATGTTCAGCTTAGAAAATCTGAAGCTGCAACATAACGATTAAAATTGAATGGAAACAGCTAGCCTGGTCCTGTGACATACTCCATCTGCAAATGTCTGAGAAGCTGTGATGGCGCGTGAGACCCAGAAATAAAAAGCGTTGCTCTACAGTTTATTAGCAGTTTCCAGCTGCTCTTCTGCTCATCTAAGATATCAAATCTAGTCTGACAAATTATTTCAATAAGCAGCCAATGAAAGGCTGAAACCTAACCTAAGCATATCTTCTGTTGTTTTAATGTCAAACTTGTCAGTGCATCTCAGATTTGTTAGTTTCACTTTATTTACCTTCTGCTCTAATGAAAGCTTCACATTGTACAGGAGAAACCGGGCATGTGGCTGTTCTAAAGCTGGGTGCTTTGTTTGAAAAAGCAATGGAAAAAAAATCAGTGAATGTGTGTTTGGTGCTGTTTTTAACTCATTTGTTCAAAGTGAACAGGCTTAAGTCTTTGACTTTCTCTCTCGGGTGAATCCAGGCTCCAAGTTCTCTTCCTAATCTTGTGATTTAGAACGAGATCATTGCAGCAGCACCCCTGCAGTAAATTCAGCGGAGTGAGCAGGTTAACAGAATAACTGATTGGTGTGGGATTAGCATTAGTGCTGATGTTCCTGAGCGGCTGCTGTATCACGACACGGCACACACCATTTAAAAGGCCGTTTTTGTTTAAATTCTCTGTGCGACTCCAACTGCATCATGAAAACGCACACATTCTCTGCATGACTGTTTCTGTTGTGGCTGTGACTGTGTGATTTCTGTTGTGCTCATACGTGACTCAGGACCTGAGGTGGATCATCTGGTGAAATGTCACATTAAGTGGTGGTCAGGCTCACTGAGGATAAGGAGCTATTTCTGGGGGGTTAATCTGTCCACAGAAACAGCAGGTTGCATTCTGGGAAAATAAGGATGAGGGACACTTCCTGAGAGGGAGAAGTGAGTTGGAATCTGGGTCAAAACAACATGTTTGACCTGAAAGGCTTAAGTTAAAAAAACAACATCCTGAACTCAGTTTTTCCTCACTCCTCAGTTTAAAGGGCGAGCCTCGGGGTTCAGTACCAGGCTCTCTGTAGTTTGCAATTCGGTCTATGATCTTAATAAAGCAGAGTGTGACTGTATGCTCATGATATTGCCATTTGCCACTCGGAGGCTCTCACGCTGTTCTCTGAAGAAAGCAAACAATAATGTGTAATTGTCGTTAGGGTGCTGCTAAAGAAAATAAAAGGGCCCAAAATTGTACTGAAGCCTTCTAACAGAAAATTTCACATTTCTTTTGACAGAGTCGGTTAAATGAGCACAAAACAAAACTACTAATACCAACTAAAAATGACCACAAACAACATTCCTGTCACCACAATGTTCTCTGGGGGGACTGTAGGGATTTAAAACTCGGTCAGAACCAGAGATTCACCTTAAAATGATGAGGTCAAAAAATATTACATGTACTTGGCTGGATGGGTTTTTCCTGGATTTGCCCTAAATGTGAGCTGTGTGTGTCTATGTCAGTCTGTGGACATGGCAGGGCTGAAGTACTTGAGCACAGCGCTTGAGACGATGGCAGAGCCGGAGAACCCCGAGTGTGAGAGTGAGGGCTGGCTGCTCGAGAAGGGCGTCAAGGAGACGTTCAGCGATCTGCTCACCAAATTGAAGACCCTTGGGAGGACCAACCAGGTGGAAGGCGGAGATGCTCCAGAGGCCAACACCTGATAGCCAAACCCACCACAGAGGACTGATGTCTCCCCTTCTCTTCACCCCCCTCAAATGCCATCTCTCCCCCCATAAGAGGGAGAAAAGAACTGTATATAAGCCACACATGCACATTAATGTGAACATTTGAATTTCCTGTGAATGTCGATATTTTCTGTAAATATGTTAAACAGAGTTTATTTTTAAAAAAGAGGAACGTGCTCCTGTAATTAAAACATCATCACCCCTTTCAGAGTAGCAGTTCCTGTCAGGCGGTGGTTAGACCATCAGACAGCATCGGGTCCCAGTGAGTCTATTCCCACCAATGTGTCTGAGTGTTGCAGTTCCGTGTTTGTCCAGCAGGGAGCACACAGCCAAGACAGCACGGATCCATCGACGTCATCATTAGTGTAAAAAGATCAACCTAGTTATTATTTCTTACATCCAGATGTTTGAATGTGTGTCATTTCTGCTGGCTTTCTCCAGCAATCACTGGAGACTTTAACATGAGAGAACAAACCACTAAGCAGCACACAACGTACCAGTGCTGCCATCTGTGAGAGCAGGCAGCAATGACAGAGGTTCATACACAGCAGCATGACTCCTGTATAAAACTCCTGTCAGTACAGAGGCTCAGATGGTGTTCACACAGCTGTACTTATTGCCTGTATACGAAACATGCACATGCAGGTGTATATACAGGTGTAAAGTTAATGTAACTGATGTAGGACTAACAGAAACGGCACATCTTGCATTATTATAAAGGCCGGTGTGCACAGGTGTATACAGAGCTAAGCACATAAACTACAGGTATAAAAATGATCATTTGTCAGTTTGATGTGGTCGTTATTTTTCTTTTTTTTTTTAAATGTCAACATCTTATCAAGTCTTTGTTGATAAATGGCTACCGAATGCTTCACCTTAACACAAGTTAAGTGTGTTTCTGCTTGGGTCTGTTCATTATGCACTGAGCAGGTGAGTTAACAGCACTGACTGTCTCTGCAGTTTAAAAAATTTAATACCCCTCACTGACGAAATGCTCCTAGTGTGATTTCAAACCGCACAACGAATGGAGCAAAGCTGTGTCCAACACATGCCGTCACAGATGGGTTATTCCTGCAGGTGTGGGTGACATGTCCACAAAGAACACCTGGCAGGCTGAATTCAGGTTGAAAAATGGGCTGTGGCAATCGTGTGATTGGTTATGAGGCGTTTCCTTTATTGCTTTCTTTCTCTGTAAGGTCTGAAACCTGTGATTATTTAAGGGACAGGAAAGAGAGAGAAATCTGCTCTCAGATTTGTAGTTAAAGCCAAGTCCACTGCATAGAGCATCATATGTTTCTGTTTCTTTGGAGAGAGTGATGTCTTCAGTCAGTTGTTGTGGGTTGGTTGGAGCTTCTAGTTCTGTGTATGATAAAACCTATAAAGAGATTGTGACTGAAACCAAGCTGTCTGACTCATCTTTTATCAAACACAGCTTTGGAACACGTAACATAAAAATATATTTATATATTATTAGATATCTATAACTACTGTGAGAAAACCTTCAGCTTTGGTCTTTATTGTGCTGTCTTAGGTGTTCAGGTGTGAAATACTTTAGTGTTTTACAGCTTATATTAAATTCACATTACATTTTTGTAAGTACATCTTTAGCAGTATGTCTGTGAAGGTTCTCAGTCATCCAGGCCATCGTAGTCTAAGGAGCTTGGAAAGAAAAGCGTCTGGACTTCTTTAAGTTGCTTGAAGACGTTTCACCTCTCATCCGAGAAGCTTCTTCTGTTCAACTGAAGAAGCTTTTCTTTCCAAGCTATCTTTAGCAGTACATTTTACAGGGTTTTTTGGGTGTTTTTCTTGCAGTATTTATTGTGCTTTATAAAAAAAAAAGTGTCATTTAAAGTTCCTTGGGATGTTATTACAGTGTTTTGTTTTACTTTTTTGGTCTTATCACTAGTACCATCGCTTTTATTGTGATATTTTTACAGTTTTCTTTTATAGTTTTTTGGGGGGAGTTTCTTGCAGTATTTTTCCAGTGTTATACATCATTGTGTGACATGTGCAGTTCATTACCTCACCTGAGCAGATAAATGGTTAATCAGCTCACAGGGAGATTAACTCTGTTTATATCAGCTAAAGGTCAAAGACAGTGACCGTGACGCAGAGAGGAACCTGGGGGGTCCAGAGATGGAGCCAAGTCCAAGTCCTTTAAAGGACACTGTAGACATCGTGAAGCAATACAAACACAAACCTACCCCGCACTAGCTGACTGCAGACAGTGTAAATGGACTGGACTGGACTGTACATTGGTCAGTGCATGGTGTAACCAAAACCTGAAAACCTGCACACCAGTACCTTTGCCACAGACTGGTTGTAACTAATGTTTATCGTGTTGGACCAGTATTACCAGCTACTGAAGAACAGGAGGGTCAGCTGACGGTCGAGAACTGGGGAAGATGAGGATCCACTCAGAGGTTAGAGATTAAAGCAAAGCTGAGGAAGCGATTTAAACTTTGATCCTTTTAATGCAGCACGCAATGCTTTAACCCAGTGGGAGGTTAACGAGAATACAGGTGATGCTAACTCTGTTCCAAAGTACAGTGCCTCAGTCTGAGCATGATTAGAGAAACAGAAAAAAATGGAGACTTCGTACAAAAGTGTAAAAACGAACATTAATGAGAGACAATAAAGGAGTTCAACATGAATGAAATATTCTAAAGTGGAGAGAACGGATCCAGAACCAGGTCTGATGTGAAGACCTGATGATTAGTTTTGGTTAAGACAGAAGTTTCTGTTTTACACATTTGTGGCGGGGCGTGGTCAGTGGCGCGGCTGCAGCGAGGTGAACACACCTGAACGGCATCTGCAATCACGCCTCACCTGCATAAAAGGAAGAACTGGGTCCGGTCTGAGGGTTGTTGTTGGTGTTGTTGGTGATGTGCTCGGCTATGAGCTGAAAAGCTGCAGCTGTGTGTGTAAAAAACAGCAACCAGAAATAAAAGATGAGATATTGATGAGATAGCCTTTATTTGTCAGTTGCAGGTCTTTTGCCCACAACCGAGCTGACAGACCTTGCCGACCGTACATACAATACAAACATCACATTGGGGAGACAGGTCAGGCTAGGTAGCAAGGAAAAAAACATCAAAATGTGTAACACAAAAGGATAATACAGGAATGCACAGATATCAACACATCATAGCACAATAAACACAGACAGCAACATGGGAAAGAGTTCCAGTGTGTACATCTGATCTGGGACCGCCGCAATCTTTCAACTGCGCCTCCAACTGACCCGATGTCCACATCAGAGGGGAGGTAAGCGTTGGAGGTGGCGTTGGATCCGGGGTAGGGAGGGTGATACATCGGTGAGTGCTTATCAGTATCAGTATGTGTGTGCGTGTCCATAGTTCAGCTGAGACAGTGTCCTTCGCCCTGCCAGGCTAAGTAAACAGTCTTCCAGCCAACCCTGGTGGCCTTGTAGGGAATGGGAACCCATATGGAAAAGAAATTGTAAAAACTTATATGTGATTACTCATGAAAGTGGCCACTTTCTCATTACTTTCATACATTGTTTTAGTAAGTATCCAAAACATACAAGTTTCATCATATAATTTTTCAAGGGATCTTATATCTGTTTTCACTCTTATATGCTTTTCATACAAGTTTCACACAAGACAGATACAAACTTTATAAGATTTATATATATCTTTTCCATATGGAAAGGAACAGACTCAACACAGTCGTTATCAGGGAGTTTTTGTTCAGCTCCAGCCTTGAGCCCACAGCTGGCGCTGAAGGGGTAACCGCATTATGATGGTGATTTTTCTTTTGCAACAACTCATGAGAATTTCAAGCTGTTCTTTAACACTCCGACACTGGTCTCTCAATCTCCCGTTGGATAGCCGCGAGTTTCTCCATGATGTTATTAACCTTCAGTTCCGTGGTCTTGTCATTCTTTTGCTCAAAAGGCAGATTCTGAGACCTCACAACCGCAGTCAGCTGTTCCAAGATGTAATCCAACTTCCGCACAGAGGTGTTGTTCCGGGTGGACTTTTCCTTGATGTAATCCAATATACACTCAGAGGTCTTATTCTGAGCATTCACTGCAGCTGTAAGCGCCTCCAAGCGCTTAACCATGCTGCACTCAGTGAGCCCTTTCTGAGAAGTCGCGCCTCGTCCCATCGTTCCAATCCCAGTGGGCAGCCTTGGGGGGTTTGAACAGCCGGTTCCGCTTTCTTAATTCTCCAATAAGCCAGGGCCAAGCCAGCTCCGATCAGCAAGAACCCTGTTATCATGGTTCCGAATAGGTAGATATCTTCAGCGTCCTCGATCCACAGTCCCGCCAGGCACACGATCCTCCATGTCTGCCACCCGTCCATCGTGTATCGGCAGGGAAAGTCCCTCCAGGGCACTCGGGCTCTCCCAAGCCCAGACTTCTCGTTGAGAAAAGGGTGTCAATAGCATTCAGAGACCAGTTGATCAAATCCATAATTCTCTAGGTTTTAGAAACAGACTGTGAGAGAGTGTTCCAGAGAAAGTAATACAAAAAACACGAGACTAGACAAGGACATAAGAACTAAGCAGGGAAGATAAGGGAGAGGAGAAAAAGTGCGTCCGCCTCCTCCGAGAGCCAAAGCAGAAAATAAAAGTGTATGCTGGAAAGCATGGAGACGTGGTCAGGTCTGCTGTGGATTTCTTCCAACGTTATATGTTGGATTCATGAGGTTTGGGGCATGGCAACCCAGTACCGGGCAAGCCAGGGAAGGTGCTGGCCCAAAGTGTAGCCAAGCTCGTGACCACCTCCACCCTGACCACCACCTCTTCAACATCCTGGCTTCTGGAGAAAGCTTCAGATCCATCAGGTGCAAAACCAACAGACTAAAGAACAGCTTCTTCCCGTGGGCTGTCAGAACTCTTTTTTTTTTTTTGCCTGTCCCATTTGGTTCTTTAGCCGTCAGAATTGTTGTCTGAAGACCAACAAGGAGACCCAATGGATTTACCACCGGGAGTGAGCTGGTACATACCTGAGCGCCCAGCCCCGGACACCAAGAACCACCAATGCACCGACCCCTGAGGGCATCAGTCACCGGCAGGGAGTGTGGTGAGGGGAGATAGGCCTTGGAGGGCCTAGAAGTTCCCAGAGAGGTGGAGTCTAAGACCCGACCTGACATATAGACACAGACAAACAGGCACACACAGACACAAACATGCATTCCCACCCTCATGCACACATATACAAACACTCAGCACTCACCCAACGTAAGGATTGACATAAATGGACATATACACACAATCACACTCCCCAAACATACTCTATACCCCAGGTCCAGAACCCAGACCCAAGAGATGTTACCCTTCCCCCCGGGGTGGAGGCAAGACCCAAGAGATGTTACCCTTCCCCCCGGGGTGGAGGCAAGCAGACCGTCCCAGGCTCCGCAGCAGCAGGGAGGCCAATCGGACAGCCAACATCTCCTCCCAGCCCCCCGCCCCGATGGCTAGCAGAGAACGGGGGTGTGTGTGAAGACCCCATACCTCCCTCCTCCCGCTCATGTGTAGTGTTGCTGCGTGTTGTTCTAAAGTGCATTTAAAACAAGGGAGAGCATGGTGCTGCTGCCAGAGAGCAGCAGGTGTTAGCACGGCCCCTCCCGAGAACCCTCAATGTCTACATGGATTTAAAATTGAGAGGTGGGCACCGGTGCCAGAGGTAGGTTTGAGTACACAAACCGTCCACTGGACGCCGTTAACGTGCCCACCCTCAAGGCCCTACATATATATGTGTGTTATGAGAGTGTAAGTAATGTGGATGTCTAA